GGCTCAGAAAAGCGATGTCAGCGGTCATTTTAGCTCGCTCTTACGTCACTGGTGGGGAAGAAAGATAATAAACCCGTACTCTTCCTACAGAAATTTGGTTTGGTTATGGAGTTATCGAAGTTGCGTGACTTGTAATGGGGATTAACTACGAAAATGAAATAGTAACAGTTGTTTTTCTTAAGTTGGTTCCCCACCACTGACGTCATAAACGACCGCTGCTGACCTATTTTGAGCCGATGGTCTTACACCCCCAAAAGCGGGAAAAAGGCAACTTCAAATCGAATTTTCTCGTAAAAAACAAGAAGTGAACGAAAATGAATATCGACACTTTATCTTACTCCTCTAAAGCTAACTAGAAATGAATACAAACAATATACCAATTTTAGGCTTCAGTTCCCGGCAACGATCATCTGGAAATTCCATAAAATCGAGTACAATTGTGCTCAACAGATACTGAAACATATATTCTTTTCGACCCCAGTTTAACAGTGCTACATGTTCCGGCCCAAAATGCCGTAATCACCGGTAACCAAAGCGTACTATAAGAGGTTGAAATAACAGCTTGTATGTATTTCAATTTCGAACGAAAACTATTTCTGTTTTCCTTTGAAAAGCTACCATAAAGTTCGAACCTCTCTAAGTGGTGTCCTCTTTATGTCGCCGAAACGCTTCTGGTAGCCATTTGACCGATTTTGACGCGAATTAAAGAGTAAGCGTCACTGTATTGTAGCTTTCAAAGGAAAAAACAGAAATAGTTCGAATTTTAAACCCATACAAACTCTTATAGTACGCTTTGGTCGCCTACGGCTAAATTCTAGGAGCTTCTTTAGCATCTAGGAGCTTCTTTAGCAATTCACTGCAATTGAACTATAATTCTGCTATTGAAGCGAATAGTTCTTCCGAAACGTGAAACCGTTCCAAGCGAAAAATCTGCCTCGCGATCCAACGACGGAATTCCACCAGCATCATCGTCGTCCTCGTCGTTATTAGTTATAAGACTCGCCATGTCATTTATCACTGTCGAGGTTAATTCTCGCAATTCATTGTCTTCATGCGTAATGTAATAGTTCCAAAAGTCTAAATTAGTACAGGCAACAAAACAAGAAACGAATTTCCGATCTTCTCCTTCTCATAAAAGCTACGCAGCTAATAACATCGACAACATCATTGTAGATGTTAACCGACATCGCTAGGGCGCGTTAAACTACGCAAACGATAACTTAGCTAGTCTCCCCCGCGTCGTACGTCCCACGCGCATCGATCAGGATATGTATGAGCTTGATACTAGAAATATCACGGTCAACATTACTGCTAAGGTGTCCAAGGTTCACGAAAATAGACCCCAGATCACCATAGGGGTCACAGAGCAGCGTGACAGGGTCGTGGAAAACGTGGATGTCACCTAGGTCATTGTTCGACTATTTCCGACCATTTCCGACGTTAATAAGATGAACTAGCTAAGATGACAGCTTCATTTTCTTTGCATATTTCAGCCTCTGGAATTCCCGAATCTCGGTTTCTTTAAAGCGACATTTCTCGATTCCCGCCTGTTAAAATCGCCAAATCCCGTGTCCCGGTCATAAATACAATCCCGAATCTCGTCCCCCTTTTCCTTGAAAATCTCGAATCCTGGCCTTCAAATAAGCCAAATCCCGGATCCGAAAAACCCTATTGGGGACCCTCTGGTATGCACGACTGAGTGGCTTTGTTTATGCGCTTTACTTTGACGCTTGATCGATATTTGCCTGTTGTGCTATTATTGGTGGGTATTTAAGCATATTATTCCACCTGGTGGTGCCTGATAATGGCACTTTTCAATATTAGCGAGGGTCCCCTTAAGTCCCCAAATTTTGTAGGAATATGTGGCCGTTGAAAATAGCTTAAATTGGCGCCAAAATTATGACGTCTTTCCTCAACTGGTGTATCACCCGGCCCGCTTTTGATCGATAATAGCCTTGCTGCTTGTATTAAATGCCCCTTTTAGTACATCTGAATTAAGGTTAGTATATTGTGATGTAGTGTTTTC